TAATCCAAACTACATTTCAGTCTAAAGTTTAAAAAATGTCCCCTAATGTATCACTGTTGACCGAGGCTTGCATGCATATTGATTGAAAACATCAGTCAGCGGTCCATTTAATTAATTGAACAAATACTTTTGTGGCATAAAACCAGAGGTGGATAGAGTACGCAAAAGTTTTACTGAAGTGCAGGTAGCACTACTTTAACATTTTTTCAATAAAGTAAAATTAAAAATAAGTTATCCAAGAAGCTGTTCAAGTTAGAGTAAACAAGTACTTGGTAATATGGCTACTTAGTAATTGTAGGCTCACTGATGGCTTTTTAATCTTTAAAATGATTTAATCAGACAAACAATAAAAGTAAATTTGGGTATTTAAAAATGTAAAATAAAATAAAAAAATGCAAACAAATAACATGACAATGAAACAACAAATGTGGGGAGAAGAAACATTGATCCAAATCTTGTTTTTACTATAAACTTATGAAACCAGATTTTACAATTGACAATATGTCAGGAAAACAGACTAAAGAACCTCTAGCTACAATATCTGCAGTTTAGTGCATTTCCATCTAATTTAAAAAAATATTTGTGCCGTTTAGAATAACCAGACATTTTACTCAAGTAAGGGTAGCCATACTCACACAACAATATTGCCTGATCGAAAAAAAAGGCTTGGCAGTGAACAACTCCTCCTGAAAGTACATTTTTTTCTAAATGTTACTCAGCTAAATGTAAATCAGGAAATCTACCTTTTTATTTCCCAGCTCTGCATAAAAGCAGTGGAGCTGCAGCAGACGCCTTTTTATCCAGCCAGGAAATGTTTTTTATGGTTTTGGAAATGTGTAGGCTTAATTCGTTGGGCAAAGGATATGTATTCAGTGGCAGATTTAGAGGTGCTTGACTGTGGAAGGTATTGAGAATTTCATGAGTAATTATAGAGAAAAAATATTATAATTACTCTATAATGTTTAATGTTTTCTGTTGTCCATACACATACAGTAGAACAGAGGCAAGTCTGTTTTTAGCCATTTTTCCTCGTCTTAGCCTATTCTTAAGAATAAATCTTTCAAAGCATAAAAGACAGACAAAAACAAAACAACCTAAACTTTAATTTTCTTGTTTCAACTGTATTAATTTATTCCAAACAATTAATTCTCTTAATTTGGTAGCGTTTGTAGTGGCTGTGCTGATTCCATTCCATTTACATTTACAAATCTTTCAAAGCATAAAAGACAGACAAAAACAAACAAGAAAAAAAAACAAACATCAAAACTAAATCTTGTTGTTCTGCATTCCAGACATTGTTCTGCTAGGACATCATCATGTCTTATCTGAATAAAGGCAAAAACCACTGTCTTATTTTGCGATATGTATTTTCAGCATAAACCTGTCCAACGAGGATGCTGAGAAGGAAATAAGAAGACGATATTTTCCCGAAATCCTCTGTTGTGGAATGACAAAGCTGATGACAGTGGCTTATAAAAGCTCACTGGTCCTTTTTGGCAGTGGCTCAGCCAGCAGCTCCAAGCTTTAGGTGGATGCAGAGAAACATTGGCCTGGCCTCTCCTCTCTCAAAGGTATCTCTTCTTTTTCAGTTCAGATTCGTATTCCTTAGTTTGTATCGAATATACATGCTGATCATGTGATATAGTCAACTTTAAAAACATTTTTTTATATGATTTTATCAAACTGTTATGGAAGCCTATTTTTGTTCTTTTAAGGGGACATAAAAAGGAATTAAATATATGCATTACATGTCTGATTGATCCACTTTTAGATCATACTTATTTATTTTCCACAGATGAATCAGGCTCTGTGCTTGCTGGCCCTGGGCCTTACTCTGTGCTTGCAATGGCAAGTTGTAGGTAAGTGAAAAACGTCCCTTTCTTTTAATAACATTTTTTAACTTTTGCGACAATATCTGCCGTTTTTGTTTGTTTGCATTGTTACAAAAGCTGAATAATTTAATTCAAA